CTGGGTATGGTTAAGTAATTTTTCCCGGTTACTTTTCAAATTTCCCAGGTTTTCCCGGCTTGCTGGCCACTAGACTGATGCAAAAATTGAAATTTTCGCTTCACAGTTCTCAAATGGTTCCAAATTGGGCCCTGATTAGCCTACCAAAATTTGAACTCATTTAGTTGGAAACTGACTTGGCACAAACCATTTGAAGTTTATATGGGAATTACTATGGAGAAACCATAATTTCGATTCATATATATCTCAAAACTCACCAGTTCACTCTACTGAAGAAAATGATAGCTGATCTTGTTGAAAATTTTCTCAGCTACAATTTTGTTCAAGACCACTTTTCGATCATATGTAAGGAACAAAAGTTATTAATGATTCAAATCACTGATGTCTTATGATTATGCTCAACCAAATGTTCAGCAGGCAACATTGGTGTTTAGGCGCGTAGAATAGAGGATAAAAATCATAGCTACTATGTCACACTGCACAATACAGTGTTTCCCATAATACAGTTGCTTAATCTTGCCATAAGATTATCAATCCTTTAAACAATTAATAACTATTTAATTTGACGTTTGGCTGAAAAATGATCTCCTGCAAAGTTGTAGCTGATAAAAGTTCCCATAATAGCAACAGAATTTGTTATCAGTACAGTATGTAAAAAGGCTAGAAGACAATGAACAAAAAGTTTTGTTTTCCCATAGTAATTTCCATATAAACTTCAAATGGTTTGTGCCAAGTCAGTTTCTTATCAAATGAGTTTTCACTTTTGGAGGCTAATCATGCAAATTTTGCATCAGTCTTCTGGCCACCCTGTCACTAAAATGACTAATTTCGGAGTTATTAATTTTGTTCCGCTGGATTTCATTTCTGAACCATTGTGCATTGGTACCCTAATCTACACAAAGCGTGGATCTTTCAAGAATTTAAAAGTTAACCGTTTTGCACTTCTTAGAAATAAAAAAAAAAAGTTCATTTTTCATAACTAGTTACCCTCAATCTCATGGAGTTGCGATTCGATTGATGCTTGACAGGCTTCCAGCGGTTGAATGTGAATATGTCGATAGTTCGCGCTGTTAACAACCTTACGCAGGAAACTCCCGAATAGCAAGGTGGGTGGTGCCGTTCATCCACCGCAATTTCTCCCCAACAAACACCTTGAACTGATTAAGAGCTGAACAAGCCAATTGTTAGCTTAAGGAGCACCCCAAAATGGTGAGGACCACAGGGGAACGAAATAAGGACAATGAATGGAAACTCGGTTCTTGAAATGTCAGAACGTTAAATGAACCTGGACGAGTGGGCCTTCTGGTCCGTGAACTGCAAAAGGTGAATGTGAGTGTGGCTGCTATTCAAGAAGTACGGTGGCTTAGATCTGGAGAACGTGGAAACCGGTTAGCGAGCGCATCTGCGTTTTGAGGATTCGTGGCAAATTCTTCAATTACAGCCTGATCAACATCTACGCACCGACTAACGATAAATCCGATGACGTGAAGGACGCGTTTTATGAAAGCCTGGATAAAACCTATGATGAGTGCCCTAAACACGACGTGAAGATTGTCATCGGAGATGCAAACGCGCAGGTCGGAAGAGAGGAATTCGTTCGCCCAATCATTGGAACAGAGAGCCTTCACTCTGCAACGAATGATAATGGCCTGAAGCTGATAAACTTCGCTGCTGCTCGTGATATGGCCATCAGTAGCACCCACTTTGCACGCAAGGATATCCGAAAGCACACCTGGAGACACCCTAATGGCGAAACTTGCTCCACGATCGACCACGTGTTGGTCGATGGTCGGCATTTCTCGGATGTCGTAGATGTCAGGACCTTCAGGGGTCCTAATATCGACTCGGATCACTACATCGTTGTCGCGAAAATTCGAGCGCGTCTATCGACCGTTACGAGTTCGAGAAACCGGAGATCGATGCGTTTCAACATCCAGCGTTTGACAGTAGATGGTGTTGCTGTAGAGTACCACCAGAAGCTGAATGAGCGGATAGCGGAAATCAACGTGAACGAGAATCTCAACAATCTGTGGGAAGCTGTCCACGGAGCGGTGAGCACAACAGCACGAGAGGTGATAGGTACAGCTCAGAGGCGCCCCCGGAACGGGTGGTTTTACGAGGAGTGCCAGCGAGTGACAGAGGGAAGAACGTCGCCAGAAGCCGGATGTTGGTGTCTGGTACCCGTCAGAACAGAGAGCGGTACAGGGTAACAAGGTCAGCCGAGAAACGAACCCATCGCAGGAAAAAAGGCAGTACGAGGAACGCGTTATTGCTGAGGCGCAAGAAAGTATGGAGCAGAATGATATGCGAAGGTTTTACGCAACTGTCAATGGCGTGAGGAGTAAGACAGCGCCGTCTCCCGCCATGTGCTATGACCGTGAAGGTAATTTGCTGACAGATAAAACGATGGTGGCTGCCAGGTGGAAGGAGTACTTCGAGACGTTGCTGAACGGAGAGAACGAGAGAGCATCTACAAACAGAACACACATCGACGACGATGGTCAAGCTGTGGAACCACCAACGCTAGAAGAGGTGAAAAAGGCGATACGAGAGCTGAAAAACAGTAAGGCTGCGGGGAAGGACGAGCTCCCGGCAGAACTTCTCAAACACGGAAGTGAGCAGCTGCACCAGATGATCCACCGTATACTGCTCAAGATATGGAAGGAGGAAGAATTGCCCGCTAGTTGGTTGGATGGTTTCGTTTGTCCCCTCTACAAAAAGGGACACAGACTGGAGTGCGCCAATTACAGAGGAATCACGCTTCTGAATTCGGCGTACAAAATATTATCACGTGTTCTGTTCAACAGATTGAGACCGCTTGAGGAATCCTTCGTCGGCGAATACCAGGCTGGTTTTCGTGAGGGTCGATCAACGACGGATCAAATGTTTACCCTGCGTCAAACCCTTGAGAAGTTCCGGGAACACAACTTGCAGACTCATCACTGTTCATAGATTTCAAGGCAGCGTACGATTCAGTAAAGAGAAACGAGCTATGGCAGATAATGCAAGAAAACGGTGCTGATTCGTGCAACGCTGGATGGTTCGAAATCATGTGTACGGGTTGCAGACGAGATTTCGGCCTCGTTCGTGACCTTAGACGGGTTGAAGCAGGGAGATGCTCTTTCGAACTTGCTATTCAACATCGCCCTCGAAGGAGCGATTAGGAGAGCTGGCGTGCAGAGGAACGGTACCATCATCACAAAGTCGCACATGCTCCTTGGTTTTGCGGACGACATCGACATCATCGGAATCGACCGTAGAGCAGTGGAAGAGGCGTTCGCGCCTTTTAAGAGGGAGACAGCGAGGATTGGTCTCACGATAAATTCTACCAAAACGAAGTACATGGTCGCCGGTAGAAAGCGTGGGAGCAATAGTGATGTTGGTAGTGAAGTGGTGCTAGATGGCGAAAAATTTGAAGTTGTGGACGAATTTGTTTATCTTGGTACTTTAGTGACGTGCGATAATGATGTTACCCGCGAGATGAAAAGGCGTATTGCAGCCGCGAACAGGGCTTTCTACGGGTTGCGTAGCCAGCTGAAGTCCCGCAGCTTGCGTACGAAAACGAAATTCGCGCTGTACAAGACGTTGATTCTGCCGGTAGCCCTTTATGGCCACAAATCGTGGGCATTGAAAGAGGCCGATCGGAGAGCTTTCGGTGTCTTCGAGCGTAAAGTGCTGCGAACAATACTCGGCGGTAAACTGGAAAATTGCATCTGGCGGCGTCGCATGAATCACGAATTGTACCAAGTATATAACGGCATGGATATTGTGAAGCTTATGAAACAAGGCAGGCTACAGTGGGCTGGGCATGTGACATGAATGTCGAAAGAGCGTCAAGCGAAGTCAATATTCAGCAGGGAACCCGGAAGAGGACGTCAGCTTCGGGGAAGGCCACGCACGCGTTGGCTTTGTGCAGTTGAGGAGGACATTAGGTCCTTGAACGTCCAGGGTGACTGGAAGCGGTTGGCTCAGGACCGAGACCGTTCGGCGCAGATTTGAATTCAACGAGTCGTCGCCCATCAGGTACTCAGGTAGGTAGCTTAAGGATCATATTGTTGCATGCATAAGCTCTTATTCAGCTTTCAATGTTCGTTGGGTCGCCTGTTCTCCATTCAATTCAGCAGGTTCTTGTTAATGGTATGGATCAACCATAAGCTTGTCGCCTACAGAAAATTAGTTCAATTGGTTGGAAGACAGCCGAGAAATTGCGGTGGATAGACGGTACCACCCATCACGCTAGTCGGAGGAATCCTGTACTGCAAAAAGGCGAATTGTCGGGCTTTCTAGTTACTTGGGACTGTTTCTGGAATTACAATTGCTGCCAAAACCAACCGAGAAGCATCACGTGCTTTTCCGTGCATAGCATGAGGATTATTTTGAAGACAAGTACGCGAAACAATCATTCTCTAGGTCCTTCAGCCAATATGAGTCATTCTACCTGGTCCAAATATTGTCCCATCTTTGTCATCTCCTTTCACATGAGTCACACCTTAGGCGTAATAAAAATTACGCATTCTCCAGCTCTTTTGCTCTCTTTCTGCTTGCCGCCAACCCTCGTTCATTCACACAAAACTGTCATCGTCATCATCGAGCATTGAACCACTACATAGCACCAACATAAACACCATTCCCCATCCCCATATACACTTTCTTCCTGGTGTAACATATTTAGAGTTTCTCTCCATTTATTGGTCCAGTGCTCAATGTTTTGCGAGTGAGCGTGCGAGCTCTCCCTCTCCCACTCGCTCTCTCACGCCAAAAAGGACATCAACTTTGCGAAAAAATTTCGCAGAGTAGTGAAAATTCTTGGCACCTTGCTTTTGGGGAAAAATCCTTCCCAACGGAGAAATCGAAAATGAGAATGTGAGAGAGATCCCCACATATTGGCAGCCTGAGGTGACGAGAGAATTCGGTTTGTTGATCAGAGGCTGGAAAACGGGTCAATCGTCGCCGCCTCAGTATCGCCGTGGTTCTGCTCCGAGTAGCAAGTGTGTGAGCATATCAGGGCAGAAGCAGTGTGTCGTTCGTTTTCCCCCCTCGACTCAGTAATTTTTGATTTACTGTTAGTGGAGATCCTAGTTAGAAGCAGCGAGCGAACGAGCGGAAGAGACTGATTACTGTCGTTTGGTTTGGAGGGAAGCTGCTGTGTTTGTGCTGAAAAGCCTCCGAGCACTGGATTGCAGGATGTTGTTCGGTGGAAAATGCAATTGTCGGCTGCATAATTGAGTTTTTCTCCGACACTCGGATGGGTGGAAGAAAAAATTGTGTATGACGGAATGTGTGTCGTCGAAGCGTATGTGAGTTGTTCCGAGTCCGGAAATTGAATTCTGCTGGCTGGAGGAGGCTGGCTAGGCGCAGGGCAGTGGAAAATTTAGGTCCTGTTGGAATACACTAAGTGCAACTCTTGTAACCCGCCAAAGTGCTTCCTAAGTGAAAGTGAAGAGAGCAGTGGAAGCGAGAGTGAGAGAGTGAGGGAGAAAGTGGCAGAGAGGGCGGTGGCCCCCAGAAAGGGTGGTAGCGTAGTAAAGTGATCTCGCCGTCCCCGGAGTAGTATCGGCGTTCGATGACGATATGAATGCGCTCTGAACTCCAAGGAATAGGATAACAGTACGTAGTAGTACAGCAGCGCACACTATAGGAAGTGAAAGGAGCGCGAGAGCGATGTATTTGTGACGTCAGTGATAACAGGAAAAGTGTGAAGACTCACACAAGCGTTTTCCCACAGGAGGAAGGACTCGGATTTTGCACGCCATGTACGAAGTAAGATGTTGTGGGATTTTTTTTTGTTTTGCGTAGGAAGGAATTTAGCTTGGGGAAAAATTACGTCAAAATTTCTTCATTAAACCGGAAGAGAATTCCGTCAGAATTCCTGAAATGTGTTCCTTTGGAGTTTCTGGTGGCAATTTTGAAGGCATTACTTAAGTGAGAATTCCTATGATTATCAGCATTCAGCAGTATTTCTCAGTGAAATTTCATCAAATTCCTGGTGTGAATTCCTGGGATGAATTCTTGATGTGGATTTTTTGACAATTCCTTAACAATTACTGCCTGGTGAAAATTCCTTTATAAACCATGAAGGGAACTCCATCCAATTACCTGAGAGGAGTTGTCTCACGATTTCTGAAGAGAATTTTTTCAGAAGTCTTATTTCTGAAGTGAATCCTTTAAGAAAATTCCTTCACAATTCCGGAGGAATTTACTACATTCCTTTAGGTGAAAGTGACCTAGTAAGTAAATAAAAATGTCAAACATGGTTTTCTGTGGGACAATTAAGAATAATAATAACAATAATAATAATCTCTTCAGATTGCAAAAAGCTCTCGTCGAGGTTTTCTATTTATTATTTCGCACACAACGACGAGACTTTTTTCCAATCTTAAGTGATATCTCAGAGAAAACAATGTTTGAAATTTTTCAATACCTCCCTAGGTCACTTTCACCAAGGTGCAAATTACTTTGATACATTTTCGAAAAATGCAAGCTCAGTTTTTTCGATGCATGGTTTAAAATTGCAAAAAGCTCGCGTCATTTTATGTAAAAAAACAAAAGTGCGTTGAAATAAACTGGGCTAGCATTTTCCGACATCGTAGCATAGTAAATGGCATCTTAAGGGAATGCTGTCATTTTTTTAAGGAATCCCCTTAGAACTTCAGTATGGATTTCCTTAAGAATTTTTGATGGTATTCCCTTTAGAAATTTCTAAGGAATTTGCATTAAAAAAATAAAAAAGGAATCTCCCTTAAGAAATTTTCAGTTATTTCCTTCAAAAATTGTGCGAGAATTTTCTTCTGGAAATGTGTGGAAGAATTTCTTTAGAGAATTTCCATCAGGAAATTCCTTAAAAAATGCGATCAAAATCCTCTTAGGAATTTCCAGCATGTCTTAAGAGACCTTGAAACGATTTCCTTCAAAGTTCCTGTCACCATTGATAAGATTCAACCCCACCTACCATCAGAAAAAAAAGTCCCACAAGATCCCACTTCAACCGCACCGCCATGCGTGCACAGTTTCCTTCTAGCAGCAGCACAGTGTTGGTCCTTACTGTCCGAGTGTGACTCGATTCATTCACCGAATCCGGAAACGTACCGTCACTACACCCACCATCACGAACTGGAGTCGACTGGAGTGAAAGTGCTTTTCCCCTTCTGTGCAGTGAAATCCACGATTTGAAAATGGACAGTTCCCCGGATCTATCGTTGAAGCTCCGTCGTGGATCGAGCGATTCCCGCGACTCGTTCTACATGGACTTTGCCCAGGGCATCGATTCGGACATCGAAGATGTAGTCACGCAAGCCTCCGGGGGTGCGTCCCACCCCCAAACTGTTACCACTCCGAGCACCCTGGCTCCCATCACTGCCAGTAGCACCACGGCCAGCCTACCGGACGTGACGGTCCTGTCGGCCTGCGGTACCAGCCACTCCGGAACGGCCATCATCCCCGAAGATCCGGAAGATCTGGACGATGACATGGAGGAAATGGGGCCGGTTCCACCGCCGATGCCAGAGCTCGGCGACCACCCGATCCCGTCGATTGCAGCTGGGATGGATCTGCCGTTGCCCCCGTTGCCAACTTTGGAGATTGACGACAGGTTAGTGCAGTTCATGGTACATTGCTATTTCCGTTTCGACGACGAGATGAACGTAACGACGACGGGGCGACGCGATAAAACAATTGTCCCAATTGGTCTCCTCAAACTGGGTAATTTTTTTTTCATTGCGAGGGGATTTTCACAGCCAGTGCAGAATGTGACCCATATTTTTTTGCCACGTTAGTTTGGATGTGAGTGCGATTTGAATGATCTTATTAAATGATAAGAAAGTGAAATGGGGTCAAATTTTTTTTCTGCTGGAATTCTGCTTGTTTCCTCCTACGAAAAGTGCAATGGTGGAAGTTAGTTCGTCAACATTTTATTGATTCGCAATCCTTATTGGAAGCTGGGCAAAAAGGGATGAATGTGTTTGAAAGGGAGAGCCATTATGGGAAGGTAAATGAAATATTGTTTTGGGAAGTGAGGTGTGCCTGGGTGGAAAAGCAATAAGCTTCTGAAATTTAGAAATATGGTTGTTGCCCGTTAGGGGCTGTTCATTAACTACGTAGAGAGTTTAGGGGGGAGGGGTTGGCAATTATCTACGGCTTATACAAATTTTAAAAACTGTGTATGGACAATTGTCTACTTAGGAGGGGGGAGGGGGCAAGAATCCTAAAAAACCGTCTACGTAGTTAATGAATAGTCCCTTATGGCTGCTGCAAAATACAACAAATAAGTGAGTGCGAGGGTAAAGCTGGGTTTAGACAGGGCAAGTCAATTGATCAAGTCAGTTGAATTCAGCGAAATTCAGCTTGACAGTCGTGGCTAATGACGACGGATGTTGAACTCAATATCCTTAAGCTTGGTTTAGACGAGGCAAGACAAATGATCAACTCAGTTGAATTCAATTGACTTGAAAAGTTGAGCCTGATTCAACTTTTTTCAATTCAAGTGAGTTGATCAAGTCAGTTGAATGGCATGGTTTACACGTTCAATTCGCGTTCAAGTCAGTTGAATTCAACTGACTTGATCAGTTGACTTGCCCTGTCTAAACCCAGCTTCACGGGGAAGACGTTTCTGCTTGTAGGAAGGTCAAATCTGCATTCACTTGGGAAGGTGACGAGATCTTTCAAAGCATGATGATTAAATGCAGTCAACTCTCAACAACTCAATATTCTATAACTCGATATTTTCTATAGCTCGATGGATTCATTTTCCATTGTATCGTACTCTCCATAAGTCGATATTTCTACAAGTCGATGGCTCATTGGGTCGATGTTCGTTCATGTAGTGTTATTTTGATTCTATAACTCGATCTATCAAAGAGCTTTTGAATTCTGCGATGTTGATGTTAAGATAACAGGAACATTAAAAACATGATAACTGGTGATCATTTTGAGTACCCTGGGCCCATTGTCAACATCAGAAGATGTTCCTGGTGTTTCGGGGAAATGGTCCGTACCTTTAATTTATACCAGGAGATACATCAAACAGGTTATATTGAATGCTCAGGGTGAATGCTGGGTTATTAGGCCGACTGGCCCAATGGCCATCCAGCCGAACCGTTAGTAGGCCGAATAGTCTTTAGGTCAAATTCCGAAAAATTTCGTAACGCTTGCGAGAAAATTTAATGGTTTGAAAAAGAGAATAACAAGCAAATAATAGAAGGATAAATAGGCCTATTCCATATTGAACTCAAATCGCCAATAATTATTCCGTCTCATGTTAGGAAGAGGCAGAAAAAAATAACAATAATAATAATTCTATATACTAAGGGTGTCTAATACCTAGAAAACCGGGTATCCTCAGAGAATTTATTTTTTCTTGGAAAAACCTGGAATTCTAAGGGAAATCAATCATTACTCAAGAAATATTCAAATTCTCTAAGTAATAATATAATACAGGTAAGGTTAGGTTATCTTTATTGGCGAGACTTTCAGCCATAGGCTGGTTCATCTCTTCCAGAATATAATATATTTTGCTATCCAAACATTCAATTTCCTCGTTATTTTCTTTCACTCATTGAACAAGATTCTGAGTGGATTTATCGTTAGTACCAATTTTTTTTTTCAAGATTTAGAGGTTTGAATTGCTTTTTTTTTAGGTTCTGGAATATGGATATTTTTCATAAAATTAAAATATGAAACTGTTTTTTTTTTAATTCTGTCTTAAGAAGTAATTTTTCTTGAAGAAATGTTCAAGAAACTATTTCGGGGCTGTTCATTAACCACGTAGACAGCTTTTTGGATTCTTGACCCACATCCCCCCCCCCCCTCCTCTGCGTAGACATTTTCTGAAGTTTATTCCCAAAGAATTCTGAAAATGATTTCAAAAAGTTTCAGGGAGAAAATGAATCCGGAGAATAATTCCATGGACATCTAAAGTAACAAAGGTAATACGGCTCTAAGCGAGATTTGGAGGGTTTTTAGGCGTCACAAATTTTTTTCGAAAGAAAAATGCCCCAACCCATTCTTTTCAAGCTTAGGGTTAATAACAATCTTTCAATCGACCCCGACCCATTATTTCCAGGTTGGCGAGTACAAAAATCTTTAAATCGATTTATCTCGGTAAGTATGGCTCTAATCGAGATTTGGAGGGTTTTTAGGAGTCACCTTTATTTTCGAAAAAAAATATCCCAATCCATTATTTTCAGGCTGGCGAGTACAAAAATCTTAAAATCGATTTATCTCCGTAAATACGGCTCTAATCAATTTTTTTTAAAAAGTAAAATGTCCCAACCCATTATTTTCAGGCTGGCGAGTACAAAAATCTTTAAATCGATTTATCTCGGTAAATACGGCTCTAATCAATATTTGGAGCAACGGTGCCGGTGGTGTAGTGGTAAGCGTGATTACCTCTCACCCCAGCAGGCCTGGGTTCAATCCTAATCGGTGCCGCCGGGATGTTCTGAGGCATAACATCTCTGATCACGCCTTCCTTCGGATGGGAAGTAAAGCCATTGGTCCCCGGTTCATGAGTTGATGGGTCGATAGGTAGGGTCCAGGTGTGGGAGCTGCCTTCCTGGCACGTCGGTAGCATTGGTGCTCAGCACGGAAAACAAGATCGACGGAAAAAACCAAACCAAAGGAAAAAAAAAAAAAAAAGATTTGGAGGGTTTTTAGGAGTCACCTTTTTTTTTAAATAAAATGTCCCAACCCATTATTTTCAGGCTGGCCAGTACAAAAATCTTTAAATCGATTTATCTCGGTAAATACGGCTCTAACCGAGATTTGCAGGGTTTTTAGGAGTCACCTGTTTTTTTTTCAAAAAAAAATGCCTCAATCAATTATTTTCAGGCTGGCCAGTACAAAAATCTTTAACTCGATTTATCTCGGTAAATACGGCTCTAATTGAGATTTTGAGGTTTTTTACAGGGCTGGTAGCGATCACTGCTGTCAAAAATAGTGATTTAAGTGACCATGTTGAAGAAATAAGTGACCAAATAGTGACTTATAGTTGTAAAAATAGTGACTAAAAGTGACCTAAGAGAAGAAAAGTAGTTGTTTTGATGGCACACCAAATAAATGTTTCACTTATTCAATAAATATCTCATAAACACTTACGTACGATATGAACCTTTAAAGCAAAAGATTTAATAGAAAGTTTATGACCAAACCCACGGTATTAGTCAGGGTGTCTAACAATTAAAAAAAAACCTGGAAAACCAGGAATCCTCAGGAAATTTGATTTTTCCTTAAAATACCTGGAAGGCTCAAAGAATTTAATAATTTTACTACTAAGGATATTTAAAAAAAAGTAATTAATTTTAAAATTCAAGTGTTTAACTTTTCTCGTTTATTTCATTCACACTTTGAACAGTAACAAATAAATTAAAATAAAGAGGCTTGAAATGTTTTTTGTTGCTTCCGAACATGCATATTTCCTAGAAATTTTAAATTTGAACTAGTTCTGGACTTAAAAGTGATAAAACAGAAGAAATTTTCAAGAATCTGGAGTCAAATTCCATGCAAATTTTTAAAAGCTTGTGGAATTTTATTATAATTTCTTAGGACCTCATTTCGAGGAAGTTCTAGGAAAAAAAAAATCTTTCAGAAAACATCAAACGCAATCTGCTCTCAAGGTAGTTCTGAGGAATTTAAGATTTTTTCGAAGCCTGATAGTTTTGAGTAGATTTTCAAGTAAATTGAAAGCAAATTTTAATGAAAACTCTTAGTAATTTCTGAGGAGCAACTCCTTCAGAAAATTCCAAGGGTCATTTGAGGATAATTTCATAGAGTTTGTGGGAGAAAACGAATCCGGGACATAAGTCCTTGGAATATTTTTGAAAATACTAAAAGGAGGATTACAAATAAATCAAAGGAACTCGGAAAATAAATTCAGGAAAGTTTGCCAAACAAATTATGAGAAGAAATCTTAAGAAATTGTGAGAAGGAATGCCAATTAATTCTTAGGAGAATTTCAATGTGAGTAGAATTCCAAGGGAAGGAGTGAGATTCAAAAAGGGATCTGAAATTCCGAAGGGTTTCTTATTGTGGTGAATTTCAAGATATTTCCGAGGAAAACTAGAAGAAAATTGAATTCGAAGCTTCATCGAAATGTTGCGGTATATTTCAATGGAAATCAGAATGGACTATTCTGAGGTCTACTACTTGAAAGTTCCAACATTTGTCCTGAAGTTAATGAAACTCCCTTGTTAAGGTTTAACAATTCGCTGAAGTTATCTAAACTTCTTTAAAATTTATGTCACTTCTCGAATGTTAACGGAACGGAATGCTCTAAGGTTCTCTGTTCTTTTCTGAAATTCTCAAAACTTCTCTGAGGCTTTTGCAGTTCATGAAGCTTGTTGTACTGCGCTGAATTTAATTGAACCATCCTAAAAAATTTTAAGCTTCACTGAACTTCTAACCTCATGGGAAGAGCTCAATTAAATTTTTAACGTATCTAAAGTTATCTGAAAATCTGGGAACTGGCTTAAATTTTCACAAATTTTAGTTTTAAGGGAACTGACCTCCCCCTGAACTTCCTCCAATTTTCGGAGCTTACAAACATCTTTCCCGCGATTTGCTAATGTGCATTAAAATTCCTAAATTTCATGGATC